GTTCAGTATACATGCATAAACATACTGTGTATCATAAAACGCATCACTACCCCTCAGTCACACTATCGTCTCAAAACAATAAATGTGTGTTCACCCCGTGAGTACACCTTGTTCGGTTAATCTTCATAAGTGTGATTCAAATATCTGCTATTTTATAATATCCTTTAACATTATGTTTGAGAGGTGGTACTTCATCATACTATTCTTTTCGATATGGGAGATGCAGAGGTCAAAAAGTTAAATAGTCGCAATACACGCAAAATCAATTTAGATATTCGGACGAGATGCATATCTCTTATACATGTACGAGGATACCGGAGTCCAGGGACTATATCAGGTTGACTAATGCTCCGTAGTTAAACCGTGATCACTGTTGTCCTGATACAATGGTATCGTGTGATTTATGAATGCTTCATTCATAACCACTCTACCGGAGAAGACGTTCTTTAGATAAGGATAATACAGATTTTTAAGTCTTTACAATAAAGCGAATTTATAAAGGCACTATATATGGAATGGGGTTTTAACAAAGATAATTGTATAATCTGGTGTTTTGTTGGTATTCCGTTATTATTATTTTTATTGTGCAATAATTCTTTTCTTTGAGTTAAATTCAATAGCGTGTTTGAGAAGATACATAGTTTTTATTCTTGCAGAAATAACTGTTTTCCAAGGTTATTTTTTTCCTCCATAAGTGGTGTTCAGTATTACTCATATTAAGGATATAGTCCCTAAAATTCTATACCTTTCTACTTTTTATTCTTACTTTTTAGGTTGCATGATGTTCGATATTCTTCTTTCCATTTTTGTTTTGTAATCAGAGTTTTCAATGTTGATAACCACTGTACTACAAATAAGTCTACATCAATAAAAGTACATGTAATGTGCTGCAGATATTCTCATGATCATCTCAGGTACGCATACATGCTATCAATCATATGAGGCGGTATGTTTCTTTTATCGTAATTGATTTTGATGAACATTTGATTCTTGCCATTCTTTGTGTATAATGCTTGTTATGGATAGCAATGTTCTATATCAGTGTACATTCGTGAAAATATGTTTATATTCTGTATTAGAACTTCCATTGAACATTATAATTTTCAACAAACGTTTAATGACGAGCACTGTTTTGAGCATATTGCTAGTGGAATTGAAGTTGCAATGCAAACCCAAAACTGACCCCAAGTAAAACGACCTCTGCAGGAATAACTCCAAATATGTCAACCAAGTAATTATCATAAAAATATTGTTACTAACCAGGTTTATGGGGTTATGCCACGTTAGTTTAAAACTGCCATTGAAAGAATAATTTCCCAGTGTTTTGCACAAGGAGGGTATAAGTCTTCCATTCTACAAGTCTATGGACTGAGGGATCAATCATCAGCAGAGTCAACCAACACGGAATCAGCACATCAATACAAAAAAAAGAGGCAGATACAGACCCGCATTAGTCTAATTCCCTAATACACAAGTCAGAAACAAAGTTGGAGGTCTGAAATTTAGATTAAAATGAAGTAGAACTGAAGGGTAAACTCACTATTAACGACAACACTGAATTTTGCAAGAATCTTTTCAAAAACTCCATTGGCGGTGTTCCCTTGGCGGGGGATCTGATTGCCTATGTCCTTGGTTAGATTATTCGTCCTCCACCCCAGAGTTCTGAACTATTGGTCTCGTATGGTATTCTTTCAGTTATTACTATAAACATTTAGAAAAAATATAAAACATTTAGATACTTGTAACCTTGTAGACTTATTTCCTTTGTTAAAGAACCCGTCACATGTAGGTATAGTCCGAATTATTCTGACGTTTTATCGACTTTTTTCATATCGGTCTGTCGTCGATTAACCGATAAAAGTCGATAAAACGTCAGAATAATTCGGACTAATGATGTAGGTAGTTCTTTTAAACCTGAGTATTTGATATCTAAAATGATGTATTGATATCATTTGTTTAGGACTTATGTATTTTTGAAAACAAATCCATCTGTCTTCTTGACTTACTGTTAGAAATGACTTCTTAAACTATTTCTAAGTTCACATATATTAAGGGAAACTACACAGACATAATGAGAAGTCCAACATTCTTAGGTGACCCTGATCTATACAAAGTTATTGCTGTTTCAGCAGACAGCTAATTTCTTATCAGTAGATGCTTTCCACAGACAACATATTAAGTAGCTCGAATATTTAAGTTTTGGAACATGGCTTTTTCTCCATTTTCTATAACTTCCACATTCTTTTATTGGCGGGGTTTCTGCCACTTTTGACCAGTGATGTCATGTTGGCTATATTGGATATTTATCAGATGATGGTGGGCTATTCAAATCACCCTTCGTCCGTGATCCATAGTCCGTTGGTCAGTCGTCCGTTCATCATCCGTCCTTAAACAATTATATAAATCTTGTTATCGCTATTTCTCAGATAGTACTAAATGGATTTTTCTCAAATTTGATATGAAGGTTCCACGTTGTCCCTAGCCGTGCATGTTTTATTTTTGAGACTGATCGGATAAACAAAATGGCCGATAGGAAGCCATCTTGGATTTTGTCATTGAAGGTTAGTTATTGATAAACAAAATGGCCAACAGGCGACCATCTTGGATTTTGACATTGAAGGATTTTTTTCTCTGTTTCTCTGAATAAAGAAGTACTGGAGGAATCTTCTCAAATTTGATATGTAGGTTCCCCTTGGTCTGTAGTTGAGACTAAACAATATGGCCGACAGGAAGAACTTAACAGATGTAAATTATATTGAAATGATCAGCTCTATTTCTTTCACATTAAGTACTGTACTGGTAAATATATGTGAAATGACAATTTCACTTTAAAGGTTGTCTTTTATACACAGCAGTATAAAGTTTAGATCAAAAGGTACCTCAAGGTGCATTTATTCAATGACTGTATCAAACAGATAAGAGAAAAGAAGAGAAAAGATCAAACTGATATAGAAGTAATGAAGGTGGTACAATGGTGGGCGCCAAGATCCCTCTGGGATCTAGATCTTGTTGACTTAAATAAAAATGTTAAAATCACATCTTTTGACCATGACATACAATATTTAAGAAACACTGTTGATCACATGACTGCCCCATTTTACTATGTCATATATGTGGCCATATGTTATAAATATGATATTAGACACGTGTCATTAAACCTTAAGGTGTTGCGATTGGTCAAAACCGTGGAAACATATTCCTACTGCCACTGCTATATACTGGTACTACTTGTATTAGATCACCTGAGGTTTGCTCAAGTGACCTATTGTGATTGCTTTCCGTGCGTCATCCATAGTGTGTAAACTGCATACAGTTTTGGCATCTTCTCATCAACCAATGAATGGGTTTCAACTTGGTAAGGACCATCCTTGGTGGAAGAGGATATCAAATTTCATTACCCCCAGGCCATCCGTTCTCCCTTGGGGAGGGGGTAAAGTTTAATATAGTTTATATTGGGTAATTACACTTTTGGGTATATTTTGACAATTTTCAGCAGGAAATTATTCAAACTAATTGGTTGGAATGATTATGATGCCAGATGGCAATTAGATGATAGGAATAAATAAGATCCTGCCTCATCCCCAGGGGATGGAGGGTAGGTGGGGCCAAAATGGGGAAAATGGTTAAAAGTTCAAAAATCTTCTTTATCAGACTCAGACGTTGTACAATCAAATGCTCGTCATGGATAGAAAGGTCCTGGGGTGCATTATCTAAATTGTAAATGTCATTATACCCAGGTCATCTGCTCTTCCTTTGGGGAAAGGGGAAAGTTTATTATAATTTATATAGGTAAATAACACTTTTTGGTATATTTTGACTCTAATTTCAGCAAGAAATTATTCAAACTTGGTTGGAATAGTTATAATGAAATTGAAATAAAATAGTATTAAAAAGTTAAAGACCCTGACCTAACCCATGGATTGGCCAAAGAGGAAAATTGGCTAAATGACAATATGTATAGAGGATATCTAACAGTGTCATCAGTAATACCAAATACATTTCACGAGTTCCTACCCCGGAACGTACAGCGAAACATCAAGCTAACAATACTTGATTGGATCCTTTTACCTAGTCTAGACAACCCTATGTGACAAAATATAGTCCTCTCTGCAAACATTTAATAGAATATAAAAACTCATAATTGTATTCCTTTTATAACTTGTTTTAATAAAACAATTACTTTTGTTTATATTTTAAGTAAAGTAATTCAATTATTCAAAAAAGTCCTGTCATACGAACTCAGATCACTACGCGTGTTTGATAAGTGCCGAATCTACAATGGTAGGGAGTGGGGAAATCCTGATGATAAAATATTAACACCATCTATGTAAGTTACTTATGACCGTGGTTTTCTTCTACTCTTTGACATGAGTTTTCTCTGATCAAATAGTTAAGAATTGATGACCTGCAGTCTGCTGGCTTTCATGAAAATGAACGTAAACTGTGGAATTAAACGTATAATATCTCCCCAGAGAATAATTCCTCCATGATAGGTAACAGATGATTATTCTTGGCAGTAGTATGGGCTGATGTCTCGAACTGATTTTCTCGAGGTCTGCATATCGTTAAGCTAACCAGGCTTTTACCAGATAGGCCACTTGTAAACACAAAAACTGCATTACAATGGAGGTTGTTAAGGCCCTATAACCTAAATTGATCAGAATTTAACTTTCCAAATGGACCTTTTCTGAGTGAGACACGTCAATATATGGAGTTGTTGATGTTACCAATACGAGCACAAATTACAGAGAGTCATATTTGGCAAATTTTGAATGGTTGAGTGGATGTTAAATCTCACAACCGATCTGAAATGAATCAAAGTAATTTAACATAATTTTGCTTCTTTGCAGCAGCAGCAGCAGAAAAACATCCTTAGACACCATACTCAGATGATTATAAAATTAGGTGGTATTTTTTCACCTGAACAATGGCATTCTGTTTGTAATCAAGTTGAAATGATGGAATATGTGTCGACCAGGGATATGGGTTATATAAAAAGCATGGCGGACCTGTGTAAAGCCTTGATGAGGAATGGAATCATTAAACATGGGGAATACAGTGATCTACGTGAAATTCTTGTTACTTGCGATGTTGAGGCAGGAGTAATCATTGATGATTTCAAAGAAAGAATACATCAGGAATGGGAAGGTAATTATGCATGCATCTCTTGACTTATTAAGAATTACATTCATGAAATAAAATTTACAGATTGTCCAGTTTCTTGATGGATATTTTCTGATTTACTTTCCAGAAGAGTTTACTTCTATTCAAAACAATGCTGGTCACCACTTGTTTTTATTTGAAGCATTCTGATCCATCATATATATATATTCTTAACTTTGGGTTGAAACAAATATTTTTAGAAGACCGACATTGAAATGAATCGTGTTGAGAAATAATGTGATTTGGTTTTAATACTTTTAAACCATAGTCTTCAATCTATCCTTAGAAATTAGTTATAGAAATGGCAGAAAAATTGAGGGGGAAATATTATGTCAATCATTATAGAATCAGTTTGCACTAGGACACTGGACCTTATACACTGGCTAAGTGTTCTGTCCATTTCCACTATATTATAGTAGGAAGGTTTTCACTAGGACACTGGACCTTATACACTGGCTTAGTGTTCTGTCCATTTCCACTATATTATAGTAGTAGGGTTCTCACGAGGACACTGGACTTTATACACTGGCTAAGTGTTCTGTCCATTTCCACTATATTCTAGTAGTAAGGTTTTCACTAGGATACTGGACCTTATACCCTGGCTAAGTGTTCTGTCCATTTCCACTATATTATAGTAGTAAGGTTCACACTAGGACACTGGACCTTATACACTGGCTAAGTGTCCAGTCCATTTCCACTATATTATAGTAGTAAGGTTTGCACTAGGATACTGGACCTTATACACTGGCTAAGTGTTGTGTCCATTTCCACTATATTATAGTAGTAAGGTTTCACTAGGACACTGGACCTTATACACTGGCTAAGCGTTCTGTCCATTTCCACTATATTATAGTAGTAAGGTTCACACTAGGACACTGGACCTTATACACTGGCTAAGCGTTCTGTCCATTTCCACTATATTATAGTAGTAAGGATTTCACTAGGATACTGGACCTTATACACTGGCTAAGTGTTGTGTCCATTTCCACTATATTATAGTAGTAAGGTTCTCGCTAGGACACTGGACCTTATACACTGGCTAAGTGTCCAGTCCATTTCCACTATATTATAGTAGTAAGGTTTGCACTAGGATACTGGACCTTATACACTGGCTAAGTGTTGTGTCCATTTCCACTATATTATAGTAGTAAGGTTCTCGCTAGGACACTGGACCTTATACACTGGCTAAGTGTCCAGTCCATTTCCACTATATTATAGTAGTAAGGTTTTCACAAGGATACTGGACCTTATACACTGGCTAAGTGTGCTGTCCATTTCCACTATATTATAGTAGTAAGGTTTTCACAAGGATACTGGACCTTATACACTGGCTAAGTGTGCTGTCCATTTCCACTATATTATAGTAGTAAGGTTTTCACAAGGATACTGGACCTTATACACTGGCTAAGTGTGCTGTCCATTTCCACTATATTATAGTAGTAAGGTTTGCACTAGGATACTGGACCTTATACACTGGCTAAGTGTTCTTTCCATTTCCACTGTATTATAGTAGTAAGGTTTTCATTAGGACAATGGACCTTATACACTGGCTTAGTGTTCTGTCCATTTCCACTATAATATAGTAGTAGGGTTCTCACTAGGACACTGGACTTTATACACTGTCTAAGTGTTCTGTCCATTTCCACTGTATTATAGTAGTAAGGTTTTCATTAGGACAATGGACCTTATACACTGGCTTAGTGTTCTGTCCATTTCCACTATATTATAGTAGTAGGGTTCTCACTAGGACACTGGACTTTATACACTGGCTAAGTGTTCTGTCCATTTCCACTCTATAATAGTAGTAAGGTTCTCACTAGGACACTGGACCTTATACCCTGGCTAAGTGTTCTGTCCATTTCCACTATATTATAGTAGTAGGGTTCTCACTAGGACACTGGACCTTATACCCTGGCTAATTGTTCTGTCCATTTCCACTATATTATAGTAGTAAGGTTTGCACTAGGATACTAGACCTTATACACTGGCTAAGTGTTCTGTCCATTTCCTCTATATTATAGTAGTAAGGTTTTCACTAGGATACTGAACCTTATACACTGGCTAAGTGTTCTGTCCATTTCCTCTATATTATAGTAGTAAGGTTTTCACTAGGGTACTGGACCTTATACCCTGGCTTAGTGTTCTGTCCATTTCCACTATAATATAGTAGTAGGGTTCTCACTAGGACACTGGACTTTATACACTGTCTAAGTGTTCTGTCCATTTCCACTCTATAATAGTAGTAAGGTCCTCCCTAGGACACTGGACCTTATACCCTGGCTAAGTGTTCTGTCCACTTCCACTATATTATAGTAGTAAGGTTTCACTAGGACACTGGACCTTATACACTGGCTTAGTGTTCTGTCCATTTCCACTATAATATAGTAGTAGGGTTCTCACGAGGACACTGGACTTTATACACTGGCTAAGTGTTTTGTCCATTTCCACTCTATAATAGTAGTAAGGTTCTCACTAGGACACTGGACCTTATATCCTGGCTAAGTGTTCTGTCCATTTCCACTCTATTATAGTAGTAAGGTTCTCACTAGGACACTGGACCTTATATACTGGCTAAGTGTTCTGTCCATTTCCACTGTAGTATAGTAGTAAGGTTTTCACTAGGACACTGGACTTTATACACTGGCTAAGTGTTTTGTCCATTTCCACTCTATAATAGTAGTAAGGTCCTCCCTAGGACACTGGACCTTATACCCTGGCTAATTGTTCTGTCCATTTCCACTATATTATAGTAGTAAGGTTTTTACTAGGACACTGGACCTTATACACTGGCTAAGGGTTCTGTCCATTTCCACTATATTATAGTAGTAAGGTTTCACTATGACACTGGACCTTATACACTGGCTAAGTGTTCGTTCCATTTCCACTGTATTATAGTAGTAAGGTTTTCACTAGGACACTGGACTTTATACACTGGCTAAGTGTTCTGTCCATTTCCACTGTAGTATAGTAGTAAGGTTTTCACTAGGACACTGGACCTTATACACTGGATAAGTGTTCCTTTCCATTTCCACTGTATTATAGTAGTTGGGTTTTAACATATCCTTTGTATGCCTGTCTGTGTTAGGGATGACCAAGTCTGGTGATAAACTGTCAACATCTTAAGGATTCCTGTCACACTGTAGAAGAAAACAGTGTAGTGATTCGTACACACAGTAAGCTCCCTTTATTTTTGTTTTGAATATGACAGTATTACAAGGCAAGGGTACTTCTGTCATACTTGCCAACTCTCTCTATTTAGGAGGAAGACTCAAGGTTTTGGACCCTTACATTAAGGTTTTAAACCAGTGAATTTGCTGAACTGTTCCTATATTCTAAGATCTAATTATTTCATTTCAAGAACAACTCAAAATATGTCATTTAAAGGGTTATTTTATCTCTAGGTGATGTATACAAAACATATTTATGTTTTAATTATGTCTCTCTCCCCTTCGCATGAAGGGAGATATTGTATTAGTACTGGTTATTTCAATCGCAACTTGCTATATTTTTATATCTTGGGAAGTAGGAGTGTTGCATTCTAAAATCGAATCTGGTGCCCCACTATATAAAGAGATATATATGGCCCTATGTTGATTTTTTATACCAACGTTTGTCTGCAGCATAAGTTCCATGTTATTTGTCCCCTACCGAGGGGACTAGGTTTCCTCACCGTCATCCTGTGTACGTACGTACGTAACACCAATGTTTTTCAGCGCTATAGTGGCTTCATTCCTCCAGGGATTTTTATCAAAATTCACACAATTAAAAAGGACCATAATATCTCGGAAGAGTTCGAGTTTCAGGGTTGTCGGCTCAAGGTCAAGGTCACCGTTACTATTTTTAGAAAATCGTTGTCAGCCCTCTAGCGGCTTCATTCCTTGAGGGGTTTTGATCAAACCTCACACAATTACAAAGGACCATAATATCTCGGACAAGTAAGAATTTCAGGGTTTTTGGGTCAAGGTCACCGTTACTATTTTTAGAAAATTCATTGACAGCACTCTAGCGGCTTCATTCCATCAGGGATTTTGATAAAACTTCACACAATTATAAAGGACAATAATATCTCGAACAGTTTCGAGTTTCAGGGTTGTAGAGTTGAGGTCAAGACCGGCAACCGTTACTATTAATACAAAATCCTGGACAATGCAAATTTCAAGTTTGAACATGCATATAGTGTTGACCATGTCCGTCCCGTCCCGTATATAACCCCCAAAATAGTCCTGGTTAGTCCTTGATAAGTTGACAAAATCAAAATTTATATTCATGAATTGAAAATAGAAGCCTTTTTTCAAATGGATAATTTCTAATATTTTATGGGTAATAAAAAACCAACTGTATTCCTTGTATGTCAATGAAAAGTTAGAAACCAGCACTTCAGTCTAGTTTTGTAATAAGCTTGGACTTAATACAAGTAGATCTTTGCTATATCTATATATATAGTTTATATTAAGTGAAACTCAAGTTAAGGACACATTTAAATTTACTTACAGGTCCATCACCAGCCAAGCAACCAATGCCAGGAGATCCAGGCCAGCAACAGTCTACAGGTTTGTGATCAGTATATGTTCAGTAGGAAGTAAACATGTCAAGTTTGGTCAAGTGAATACTATATTTGTAGAGGTGTACATATACACACAAGTATAAGAACATATTGTCAGTGAGGCCCATCCATTAACAGGACTACGTAACTGTGGAACCATTACGATCACAGAAAGAACAGGAGTTCATCAGGTCACGCTTTATGCCATCATCATACATCATTCCACCATTGAATTGTGTTTTTATGATTATTTAGGTATGCTACGCCCACCATGCTAAACTGCTCAATTTGTTTTTTGTCTGGTTTGGGGTTCATCAGTTAGGCAGTCCATCATTCCTTATCTAAACAATTGCTGCTGTCTGTCTGGTTACTATAAGAGTGTTCTGATCAAGTTCCATAACAACAATTATCTGAAGAACAAAAAGTACCTGAACCATCATATTTGGATATGTTATGTAAACAGGTAGTGTAAACCTTGATATGGATTATTTCCTTGGTCCATAGTTGTGCATGCTTCAATTAAAGATGGATCAGAAAATCTAAAATAGAATTTAAGCTCCTCAAAGTTCGTGTTGCAGTATGATTTGCACAACTTCCTTGTTACCTCAGTACCAATATTTGTAGAGAAAAGAAATAAAACCTACATACCAGCAACACTCCATGATTTTTGTGCCACGATCCCTCTGGGATCTCATGTGTTCTGTTACTTTCATCATGTTGTCATCAACATCAAATAATTAGAGTCAACTCGCTCCACTGTAAACTTATATGAGTGATTGATTGATTGATTGATTTTACGTCCGCTTCACTACCCAGTAGTTCGGTTATCCAACGGACTAAAATTATAGACATGGAACCAATGTTCTATCAGTCCAGGTATAAGCATGAGTTATATGTGTATGGTGGATGAAACTTCGTTAAACCTGTATTGGAAATAAATTGATAAACTTACTATAATCAGAATTGGAATGATTTGGATAGTTAATATACCTGTTTTTCATCTATTTCCAGGTCCGGCTGCCATGATTGTTACAACAGCAGACACAAGCCAAGCCAAAAGTAAGTTTGACAGCTGCAGTGTTATCCACAGGACTTTATAGCCAGACATACCATCTGGTAATATTTTACTAGCAGTTTTTTTTCTGAATTTGAATGAAGAAACTAAGTACAGTGGATATTTTGAAAAGATATACAGTCAGACAAAGTGCCAGAAAGCCAGTATCTCCACCTTATTGTCAATATATAGGAATACTTGGATAGTCCAGCTACTTTTGTCTTTGGTCTTAAGTGACTGGATAGCCAAGTAGCTTCATTATTAAACATGGAGATATTTTCCCCTTTTAATTAATTTTGATTCCAGTTAAACAGATAATCAGGTGATACAACATGGTTATTTTGACATAACATTGATATAAGGTGTTTGTTAGCTGTTTTGTATATAAATTGTGTCTTTTTTGAATTTTTCATTTCACCATGAATTATGATATATTTATATGCTGACTTATACAAATGATGCAGGGGAGAACTGATATAGGCATAGCCTGAGTTTCGATCCAATTCATACAACATCATGAATAAAATGTGTTGAAATAAAATGAGTCAGAAGACAAGTACCTGTACTAGTTCTGTCATGTATACATGTAATGATATCTACTAGTGTACTATTATGATCTATAGTTTGGTAACCGACTTGTTATAGGTTCAGGTCACTATGTAAGATTTAAGTAGTAAGAAAATTTATCTGGAATAAATCATCTGTTTATAATTCAAATTGTGTCCTACCTATTTAATGTAAACCTCTTATTTACAGAAATCCATCCTGACTTAGAACCCATGATAGGTGAGTCTTATCTACTGGATTGGACATGGTTAGAGAAGAAACGCAGCAGATTTCCTTAAAACTTGGACCAGAACAACATACACCATCTAAAGATATATGAAAGAAGTTGTATAGTTCTATTTGAACAAGAATATTGGTTTGCAAAAGTTTGCTAACCAGATTTATTTACAATCTGAATTATTAATTTCTTATATTCCCACACACTTTGATGTAGGATCTGACAATATGTTCATAACAGGTCATGTTCTGGTGAATGTTATTGCAGCCAATCATTGAAATGCCCTCCAAATAGTCTCAATATTTCAATTACATGTTATTAAACATGACTTCTGTATTGAACGTCACCGGGTCATGACCCCTTGCCACGTCATCATATCTTACATCATAAATATTGTAGAGGAACAAAATTAAATCAGATTGGAATTATAAGCTTCATATGTAGTCGTCTCTGTCTTCAATCAATTTTCGCTTTAAATGACATCTCTTAAACTGATAAGCAGAATTCAACAAAATTCTCAAATCCTTACGCCAAAGGAATCAAAACATTTATAGATAAAGGGGTCCCTTTTCCCCCACAGGGTGCTGGGGGCTGATTTGGATTAAGTGACATCTCCCAAACTAATGGGCAAGATTTAACAAAATTGTTTTGTAGCATTTCCCCCCACTGGGTGCTGGGTGCTGATTTGCATTAAGTAACATCACCCCAACTAATGGGCAAGGTTTAACAAAATTGTTTTCGTAGCATCTTTAGCCTGTGGGGATCAAACTTTACACAAATTAAGAGCTGATTCTTTGGGTTTGATAGTTAGGATCAAAAGAGGTTGAATTGGAAGTTTAACTTTAAATGACATCTCTTCCAAAATTACATGGCAGGTTTGTAGCCAATTGCTGTGGTAGTATCCTTTACCAATGGGGATCAAAATTTACGCAAATGAATTAAATTAATATGAAGGGCTGACCCTCTTAGGCACTCTCTTTCCAAAGTGTCGGCCAGATTTCAACTAGATTTCCAAAATAGCCAGGAGAGGGATTCAAGGCCCCAATGCCTCTTGTTCTGTAACAACTATAAGTTACATCATTCATGATTGTGATGTCTCCGCAAGATATTGAACATCGGATCACTGGCTTACTAGTCTGACCTCTACCTATTGGGCTAAAAGGTCTCATAGCTCATTTGATAGAACACAAGACAAGTAAAACAGAGGTCCAGGGTTTGATCCCTAGCAGAGACATTAGAAATAACTACTTCTTTAAGGATAAACAAGCCAAGACTTAGTTAAACATATTATTGGTACATAAATGAATAAACATTGATTTAGAAAGAATTTCAATTGATTAACACTATTTGACTGCTAAAAATACCACATTTTGTGACGTCATACTAAACGTATTTGTGACGTCATGATTCATTGTGATTTTGAAAGGCCTGGAAACTGATTTTTGCTTACATAATGTTTTGTGAAAATGAAGTTTCTAAATTTGTGTTGATTGGTTAGCATAACCGGTTACATATTTTTCCTATGATTGGTAAAATATCAGTCGATATATTTTATGATACTATAATTAATTTGTTCATTCAACTCCTCCTTTACAAATGATTCCCTATAATATTCTGTATTTGAAAGTAAAATGAAAACAAATCTTACAGATTAAAGTTATATAAGTTTCATTCTTTATTCTTTCACACAATTAAAACTTCTCACCCTATATTTTCTATTGTATTTTTTTCCATGCAGAAACAGCCAAAGCAAGAATTAAAAAAGAAAAAGAGAAAAAATTCTACCACACCAAAGGTTTCTGTGATGCTAAAGAAAAGCTCCAGACGAACAGGGTTGTTGTCATCAAGGGAAACACGGGAGACGGTAAAACAGCAATCGCCGTTCAACTCCTTCATTGGCTGAGTCAGGAGCATGGAGCTGGACAACCCCTTCAAATTCACGAGCTTAAAAAATCAGATTTATTGACTCCAAACTCGAAATTGATCACTTTTATTAATGATATTTTTGGTGAGAAAGATGTATGTAAAAAGGATGTACAAGAGTGGAACAAAAGAATCTCAGATGTAGAAACACGTTTTTGTAGATGAACAAACCCACACCAAATATCTCATCATTACTATTCGTAATGAAGTATTCAATTTTAACCAAAGATAACATTATTGATCTGAGTTAACATTCATACAAACTTGCAGAAGAAAAAAAAGAACTTTTAGAGCTGTATAAGCCAAAAAACGTTTCATGGACAGACAAAGAAAAAACACAAATTTCAACTTATGCACCAAACATTGGATTCCCACAATGTTGCCAGCTTTTCTACAATTCTGAAGAATTGCAGAAAGAACGAGTTAATTCTTTTGAAAATCCCTTTCATTTCTTGAATGAAGCATTGTCAAAATTACAAGAATGTTCTGCCCTTTTGTATCTCTTCCTCAATGATGGAATGATAAGAGTAAAAGATCTTGATCCAAACAGTAAAACAGTCGATGAAAAGTTGCTGGAAGAAGCTTTTGAAATCAATTTGATTGATGGTGAATATGACAGTACAAAATTGACATATAAGAAAAAAGTAGGATTTGTAAAAGAAAATTTGGAAAAGTTGTTAGGATTTTTAGTAGTGAAGGAGAAACATTAATCTAGTGAGGATGTGTACAGATTTAATCATGATTCTATTTATGTTGCTGTGGCATGTTTGTATGGAAAAGTCACACCGATTGGCTACATACAGAATTGTCCCAGAAATTCCCTCAGTTATCTTACAACCTCAGAGACAGCTACAAACATGATTGTCATATCATCTGATCATTATACAGATATGTGTGAGCGTCTACTCCGAGAGTTTGAATGTAAGAAGAATCGATATGGTACAAGTATTGGCTCTCTAGATGTATGGAATGATCATGTATTTATTATAAGATTTGTCAGGTTGTTGGATGACAGAAAAGTTGATAAACTTGATGTGTGGAATAAAGCATGTTATTCTGGTGCAGAAGAATGTGTTTTATATCTTCTGTCAGAAGGTGTTAAACCTGACAAGGACACAGCATTGGCATTGGTTACTAGTAGATATTTGAATGATAGTAACAGACAAGTGTGTTTACTTAAGAAAATTGTTGTATACTTGAATGATGAGACAAAACTTGATGTGTTGAATAAAGCATGTTCTTCTGGTGCAGAAGAATGTGCTTTACATCTTCTGTCAGAAGGTGTAAAACCAGAAAAGGACACAGCATGGTGGTCATTGATTGACAGACATAGGAATGATAGTAACAGACAGGTGGGTTTACTTAAGAAAATTATTGTATACTTGAATGATGAGACAAAACTTGATGTGTTGAATAAAGCATGTTCTTCTGGTGCAGAAGAATGTGTTTTATATCTTCTGTCAGAAGGTTAAAACCTGACAAGGACACAGCATGGTGGTCATTAATTTACAGACATAGGAATGATAGTAACAGACAAGTGTGTTTACTTAAGAAAATTGTTGTATACTTGAACGATGAGACAAAACTTGATGTGTTGAATAAAGCATGTTCTTCTGGTGCAGAAGAATGTGTTTTATATCTTCTGTCAGAAGGTGTAAAACCTGACAAGGACACAGCATGGTGGTCATTGATTTACAGACATTGGAATGATAGAAACAGACAAGTGTGTTTACTTAAGAAAATTGTTGTATACTTGAACGAGGAGACAAAACTTGATGTGTTGAATAGATCATGTTCTTATGGTGAAGAAGAATGTGTTTTATATCTTCTGCAGAAGGTGTAAAACCTGACAAGGGCACAGCATTGTCATTGGTTAGAAGCCATTGGAATGATAGTAACAGACAAGTGTGTGCACTTAAGAACATTGTTGTATACTTGAATAATGAGACAAAACTTGATGTGTTGAATAAAGCATGTTCTTCTGGAGCAGAAGAATGTGCTTTATATATGCTGTGTGAGGGAGTAGAACCTGACAAGGAGACAGTGTTTCATGTTGTGTTGGGACGGAGTGTGAAAGTGTTACGTAAACTACTGGAGTTTAACTTCATGTATGCCGTCATTCCTACAGCGAGGAATGAGTACAGTACTAATGTCCTACATATGGCGTGTACGTCTAAGATAGAAGAGATGGTGACGCTGTTATGTGACACTTACCTACACTTGGTACATGACACTGATAGGTGGGGACAAACCCCGCTCCATGTTGTGGCACTGAGAGGAAACTGTTCTATGTTTCAGATACTGGAGAAGTGTGTACTGAACTTCTTATATAGAGTTGAGGACCAACAACATAAGTGTGAGTCAGTCGATGGTATTGTAGTTCATAGGAACTGTGTGTGTGCTCAGTACATGGCTCAGTTAGTGGATGATGACGGGAGAACGGTGTCACATAGGAGTTGTGTGGGTGGAAACAGGGAGCTGCGTTTATATTTATGTCGGTCGTATCCAGCACTAACTACAGCTGTAAGTAAGGACGGCCGTCATTGTCTACATTACTTAGCTAGGGTTATAACAGATGTAGACTTGTTTACGGAGTGTGAAGCTCATGTTAAACAGTACCTGGAATCTACAGGTCGTAAGTATGACATCACGACCATACTTGATAATGAAGGGGAATCTTTCTTAGACATAGCGAAGGAAGGGGCGAAGTGGGGGCCAGAAAGCAACCCTTTGTTAGATCATCTTATTAAAGTATTTGGTAAATAAATATGATAATGATTTCCCAATAAAATGTACAATCATTATCAACACAAACCTTTGTAAACAATCGTGTGGAAAGGTCATGTCAAGATGAATTGTTTAAACGAGGACATTTTATCAGTTTTGAAAAGTTTTCTGTCCGAGTTTACCGATCTCCACGCTCCGTAAAATAGGTCCGGGTATCCTCTCGGAGGTCCGAATGATGTCTATTTCTTTGGGAAACACTAAAGACCTGAATGGAGCGGATCAGAGTCGATGTATTAAAACTCTGATGTTTTATGATCGCTCATGAGTAATGTTCATACTTGCCAACTTTCTC